TTTTTTTCAAAAGTGATTAGAATATAGGTACTATACCTAAATACCTAATTTTAAATTATGTATAAAAAATATTATCATTTTAAAGTTTTTAATATTTTTAAAAATATACTAGTTGTACAAATCAAATTCGAGAAAATAAAGAAATTGAAGTATAAATACTTCAAAAGTCTATTAGGCAAATGACAGTGACAGTGTACGTAAAAACGACCTCAGTCTACAACGCGTCGGGCTACGTACTGGTCGCTCCTTGTTTCTCGCGTAAGCAAAATCAAATGTGCTTACAAACGCTAGTTAAATACGTGACCCCCACTATGGCATTATAGACTATTCGAAAACAACAGTTGCGCGTAAGCAATTTCAGAATGTGTTACACTGTATATCGTATTATGATTATGCAGTTAACATAATACAGAATGGATTAAAAATAGACCTACAATCGATGATTTTCTTAAAATAGTTGGTAATCAGTAGACAGCGTACGACACAAATAAACAATAACAAAAACCACTACCAGCTATAACTTAAATATTTTATAAATAAAATTAAAATTTTAAAAATCATTTATTATGTACCTATTAGTCGTGATTGATCAAATTTATTTTTTCTTTAATTTAAAGTGTAAGCAGTGCTTACAGTGCTTACATGCACGCTACGCCCCTGATTGTATCATACATAATATAATAGTCCCGATGATCAATCTCACAGACCAACAACATAATATTATTATTATTATTATTATTATTATTATTAATATTATTATTATTATTACTATTATTATTACTATTATTATTATTATTATTATTCAGTTTGATAATAATATGAGCCGGTTGCTGCCGCATCGCCGTGGCGTCTCTAATACTATTATTCACGCTAAGAGTTACCGCTAAATATTTCAACTGATGACCTTAATATATTGAAATGGGGTTTTCACTGAATGACAGGTAGTACTTAAATACACATTTTCAGATAAATTTCAAATTTTTAACTATTTCGATACTCTCATGTATTAATGTTATGCTCATGTTTATTTATGCTCATGTTATAACTTACATTTTTTTGAAATGGTAACATCAATTTTTTTTACATATTCCGATAGAGTATTTTTTTCTTAACGATTTATGTATTAAATATTTTTCTAATTACAAAATTGGCATATGAAATTTAACGATGAAATTTAATATTAAATGTTTACCATAGGGCTTAGACGTATTCGTATTTTTAATTTCAAACGGACGTGGACTACTGATTAAGATTAGTATTAATCGATTGATTAATAAGATTAGAGAAATAATATTATGTATAAATGTGTGATAACAGTAGTTAGACAAAATCAACAGTTGATAAGTATAAACCGTACATTATGGTGTAGTATTATAAATTATTATGGTGTATAATGCAGAGCATAGCGGAGTATATAGGTTTTACAATGATGTGTGTTTTTGTCATAACTCATCATTTTAACTTCATAATATGCTTATAAGTTATAATAAAAACGTGGTAGAAACCTTAATATATTAAATTTTTAAGCTTTTTGTCCCAGAATACATTTTTTGTCAATATTTATATAAAAAAGTTATTAAAAAATATGTTTAACATATTATGAATACCCATTATTGGCATTATTTAATACGTCTTTAGTTAAGGAATCATTTAATTCCTTGAAATTCCGCTAAATATTTAAAAAAATATTTGAAAATATTTCCATAGGAGATAGATTCAATGTATAAAAAAATACAATTTATATGCCGTACAAAATTCATCCTACATTTTTAAAATTCCAAGCATATTAATATATTATTATGAATAACAATATAACAATAACACGATTAAGTACAAATTTGTCATTTTTTATGTACATGTAGAGAAATATTTAGATGTTTATAAAAATGGCGTAACTTTTTTCTTTATTTTTTAGTTAGTTCTTATTACATAAAATAATATAAACATAATACTATTTATAAACACTTTCTCTTAGAACTAAATCCATTATAGTACCTAATGAATAAATTCTTTTCATGTCTTGGTATGCTTCTGTTAAGCGATGCTGGTGTTATTACATTTTAAATACACTGTTATAGTTTTTAATAACTTAATATGAAAATAAATTATTCGAGCAGTGTTATTTTCGGAATTGTTTCCTTATATTTATTGGAAAAAAAAGTAGCTAAGAAACTCAATATTTTAGAATGGGTATAAGTGTATAACAATAGAAAGTATTGTTAACTATACTAAAAGTATAGGTTAGGTTAACCTAATTTCAAATTTAAAAAGAAATCAAATTTCTGGATAATTCTTTATTATTATTTGTTCCCATACATTTAATGGATTCCAAACAATAGATTTATCATATTTTTTTATCACACGATCATGTAGGTACTGTGACTACAAAATATCATTATCATGATACTCTCATGTATGTACATTATAGCAGTAGGTATTATATTTTAATACAATGTTAAAACTATACGATAACAATTACAATGTGTTTGTAATATGTATAATATAGTTCACTTTAAATGTTGAAACAGGTTATCATACGATTTATTAAATTTATTTAGATAAGCTATAGATACTAATAATGGATTAAGTTTTATCACAATAAAATTCACGTAGGTACCTATACCTATTATTATAGAGTTTGGTATTAAAATATTACTTTTGAAACTTCTGGTGTTGACAGTTGAAAAAGTGTAATTTATCTTGCAAATATTATACTATAATTTATTGTAAAATTATAAAAATTGTTAGTACAAGTATATATAGCATTGTGTACCTATTACCTACCTACAAATAAGTTGTCATTTGATATCATATTAATGTACAATAATACCTCACGAATCACGATTCTGTCTGTCCATTGTTGTAAGAAGATGCCACACCCGCACGTGTTGTCTCCGTGGCTCCGTTTTACAAAAATGTACAACATAGAAAAACATTGTTTTGAGCGGGACAACTGTTTCAACTTAAAGAAGATCTTTATCTGTGAAACAGCGTGCTCTTTTTTTTAATAGCACCATTCAATCATTTTTTAAAAGCAAATGAAAAAAAGGTGGGTAAGTGGATGTCGCTCTGCTGTACAGTAGGTTACAAGTGGGTCACTGTATAATGAATGCTTTTAAATTTGAATTCAATGATACAATATCATTGTATAAGAAAAACGATTCTGAGCGAAGACGGTATGTCAGTCTAGGTTTAAGACAAATTATATACATATCTATGGTATTAAAAAAAAAATTGACTTATAATAAATTCCAAATTAATCATATCACATTATCACAATATCCATTAGGTACTTATAACATGTTATACATCAACATCAATAACAAACCCTGATACTATCATAGATATATAATAGTACACTTTAGTAGTTTCAAGTAGGTACCCCGTACCCACGAATAATATTATATAATCACAACAAAATAACTAGGTTTTTTAATATGAAATTTCGTCCAAATTTGAACATAAAATGACTATAAAAATAAACTGTGATTGTATATTTTTTAGATTTTTCGGTAAGAGAATTAACTACTTACGTAGAATCTTGTTTTAAATTTTCAATCCTTAGCTATAAAAACTGAACATTTTATAATTTATTAATTACGATGATTAATAATTTTCGAGATTTTGAAAAATTCTGTCAAAATTCGATGTTAAAACGCTTATAAAAAAAAATTGTGCCTATGTATTTTTAATATTTTTCAACTGATATTGTAACAATATATCAGGAGCCTTGTATTAAATTTTTACACTTTTTGGCCCAACAGATAAAACTTAATTGATATTTATAGAAAAAAAAAACTAAAAAAATTGAAAACTGAAAATGTCCGTAAACGGCTCAAAAAGAGTCAAAATATTTTCAAAATTGTATGGTGTATAGGAAATGCTAATATAAACATTCAGTGAAATTTTCATGTATCTACAGTAATTCGTTTTTTAATTACAACAAAAAAGGAAATTGCCACATGAGAAATCGAGTGAATATCCAATGTTGTAAAAATTTGAATTTCAAACGCTCATAAAAATTTAATTTGACTTTCCGGTAGAGATTTTTTTATTGATAAAGGTAGACAATTTTATGATTAATCTTGTATTAGATTTTCAAATCTTAGATTTAAAAAGAAAAATTTTTACGAATTCTTAACTCAAAATAATTTGCTAATTTTCGTGATTTTTCCATATTTTGTCAATTTTTGAACTTTAAATGCTTATAAAAAAAATTGTGACTAAGGATTTTTAATATTTTTCATCTGCCTTTGAAACAATATATTAGGAGCCTTCTATTAAATTTTCAAGCTTTCGCAACCAACAAATAAAATTTTATTGATATTTCTAGAAAAAAAACTAAAAAAAAACGAAAAATGAAAATGTCCCTAAACTGTTCAAAATAAATCAAAATATTTTGAAAATGTTATCGTGTATAGAAGATGCAAATATAAACAACCAGTGAAAATTTCATGTATCTACGGTCATTTGTTTTAAAGTTACACCAAATCCAGAATCGATTTTTTGGAAAACCGATTTTGCGTAAAAATTCCCGTTTTTCCTTAATTTTTATGTTGTTTTTCCCGGCGCTCTTGAAAACTACTGGGAAATTTTAATTTTGACCTCCCAAATGCACCAACGATATTCACTTTCCAATCGAACAAGATACTGAAGTCGAAAATCGAAGCATTATTTCGACTACTTATGGCAGTCATGCCCAACCCGCGGCCCGCGGGCCACATGTGGCCCGCCAAGGTATTCCATGTGGCCCGTTACAAATTGTTAAAATTAAACAAAATATTCCAAAAAAAGTAAAATTATTACAAAATACGATTTTAATTAATTTATAAATAAAAAATACAATAATAAAAATAAAAATAAAAAGTATATAAAAATGTTTTTAATGTGAAATTTGAACTTTTGTTTCTTTGACTAATAATGAAAAATCTGGTTCATCTGTGTTCATCCGTAAGTCGCGATCTATGAACTGATTTTGTTTGTTTCATCCGTGAAAATATTTATTCACATATATACGTCGAGCCAAATACAGTTGCCATTTTCATCATAATGTCTCTCAAAGCAGGGAAATCTTCGTGTGAAAGCGTTGAATAAAATTTTAATATATCATTTTTTTTCATTGTTTGAAATTCATCATAGTAAAATGAATTTGTATTTAACTCGATAAGTTCAAGTTGAAAAGAAGTATCGACATCAATTTCATCAATATTGAATGGATTTTCAAATAAACCCAACGATTTTTCGTGTAATTTAACATCTGAAAAACGAGATGAAATATCGGTTTGCAATTTGTTTAACATACATACAAATCGATTTGTTGAACATAATGATTTTGTGTTATTCTTAAATATTTGGCAGTTCTCAAAATGACTGAAATAGAAATTTTATGATTTAAAATCGATATCACCCGTGCACTATAAAGAGCGTACTGATCAAGTTAATGCGTACCTACAACGTGTACCTCAATTTGTAATCTGTGCTATACTCAATAAAAAAGATAAGAAAACCAGTCCAACATGTACCTCCATATTATATTGCAACCTACGATGTGTAACTAAATTATATTAAGATTGAGAATATGAGTACTTTTATATTTGGTGGCCCGCTAGATTACAAATGTTTACCAAAGTGGCCCGCCGAGGAAAAAAGGTTGGGCATCACTGACTTATGGTGTACACAGACACAAAAAAAATAAAAAATTAAAAAATAAATATAAAAACACACATCATTGTAAAATCAATACATTCATCGTTTCACTCAGAATCTAAAACAAAATGTTTTGAAGCAAATAACTTTTATTGCATTTACGTTATCTAAAATATGGGCACGCTGTTGCACAGATAAAGGTCTTCTTTACGTGTTGTGAAAATATGGTGGGAGAACAGTTGTCCAGCGCAAAACAGTTTTTGCTGTGTTGTACAAATTTATGAGACGGAGACAACAAATGCATTTTGAATATATTTTTATTTATTATTGATACCTACAAAAAAGTTTAAAGATACATATTTTAATATTTACACTTATAAAGTCATTCTAGGGGGACGGAGTGGCCGAGTGGATTAAAGCGGTTCGATTCCGGCCACAGGCGGCATTTTTCTTCGGGCAATTCACGGTGTCTGGAGATAAGTGCCGCCATCCCCCTGCACTCGGGCATGGCAGATACCTACGGATGCCCACTAAAAAATCTACCAAACCAAAACACACGTGTTTAAACTTACAGTAGGTACCCTCCCCAAAGTAAAAATAAACCACCCAATGGCCTAAGTTTCCGCGGGTTAATTAATAAAAAAAAAACTCTTAATAAGTTATAATCATCGATATATTTGTAAAGTTCATTATTAGCATTCTAACTGAAATGTACATACCACACATATTATACATTTATAACCCGTTTTTTTGTTGGTTTATTATTTTAACGCATTCTAAATGTTTTTTATTTGCATGCATAAAACATGTTTAGTAAGAACTTACTGAAAAAATAAACAACAATATAGACAGTTGTCAAATTGTAAAATCATTAGGTTTGATAGTAAATAAACTTATTATTTTTATTTTGAAATTGTGAATCTATGAATGTAACGTTTTTGAAATTATTTCAATGCACGCCACTGTAAACCATACATATATTTATATACATACGCGAGACAGCCCACTAACGTTTAAAGCATAAAATGTAATACTCAATTAATAATTTACTATGATAATAATATGGTTATTCTAAATTTAAATTATATTAAATAAAATGTATGATAAAAATAATCTGGCTTAAACTAAATAAATTGGGAGCAATTGAAAACAAACGATTGTTTTCCTTTACACAGCAATCAGCAATCCCTGGTTGTTCTCGACGACGTGGTCATATTATTTACTTTATTTTATTGTTTTATTAAGGTGAAATTTTAAAAATCGAATATTGTTTTATAAACACTTATATTGTTATAATATGTGTACCAACAAGAATCTTATATTATTTCGTAGGTTTTTTTTTCGCTTTGGTGCACATCTGACTCGATGATGTGATATCGCAAAATAATGTAAAAGTTCGCAACAAGTATAATATCCAGTCATATTTTCATATTTTTATTTTAGTATATTATGTCATAGTATAATAATATTATGTTGTCAAAAGATTAAGTATTTTGATGGATTTTTAAATTTTTAAGAATAATACTTAAATTTACACAATTTTACTAACAATTAGTCAATATAATATATTATATCATGTAAAAGAAATTCATAACTATTTAAAATTACATTTAAGAGGACGTCTCACCCGCATGTGTTGTCTCCGTCTTACACACGTACGACATAGACAAAACGCGTTTAGGCAGTCTGAGTATAACTCGCTCAATTTTGGTTCTAGAGTAAAAATGCCTATAATGAAATTGAATTGTGGTAATATTTCTAAGGGCAAGATGCTGCGGTTTTTCCATTATACCCAATATAACGTTCATTATATCGTTTAGAAATAGAAAAAATTTCCCCATTTTTAAAATACCTTTGACTTTTAAAAAATTAAATTTTTTAAAAAAACCGCAGCGTCTATGCCGTAAATTTTAGCTGAAAAGACCTAAAGACTCAAGTATTGAAAAAGTTAAAGTTAGTTACCTAACGTTGTCCGATTTTTATACTGAAGAGAAATTTGAACTCACCGGAAAACTGTCTATAGATCCCACGAAGTACTTTGTAAAAACTAAATTTTATGTTATTGTGAACTTTAATTGAAAACTTGAAAATATCAACTTTTTCGAATCAAATTAAAATTAAAATTAATATTAGAAACGGAAAATGTTACGTATGATCTACAGACATTTTTCTGCTGAATTCAAATATTTTTTCAGAATAAAAATAAGACAACGTTAACTAACTTTAATTTTGTCAAAACCAATGTATGTTTTCGTAAAATTCGTGCAGTGTAATAACTGATATGGTTATCGAGTGATTGACATGTGCATGCGAGTACGAGAGAGGGGATACCTGAATTTAATTTCACTCACACTAGTCACACTAATTATAATCATTTACAACTAAAACATAGATCTTTGGTAATAGCCAAAGATTAGAAATTGCCTAAATTTTGACCATTAAATAATGACTGTATAGCAAGGTCCTTTAAAACGGTAGACGGTAATAGTTGAATTAATATTATAAAATTACAAAAAAATAACTATAAAATTATATCCAATCGTAATCACTATTTTAATTTCTGTAATGGTAATTAAATACTATTTATTTTAATTATTATAGGTATTGTTGTAATGCCAAGCGTTTTCATAAAAAATTTTAATGCATTAAAAAAATTAAAAAAAATGATTTCGCCCGGACAGGGACTCGAACCCTGGACCCTTAGGTTAAAAGCCTAATGCTCTGCCGACTGAGCTATCCGGGCTTCGTGTGGTTGTTAACATTTTATAGTCGGTCTTCAATAAGTGTTTTTATAATAACTGATACCAGAATATATTGATATGTATTGTGTATTAATATAATATTATACAATGTGAACAAATTTGAACTTGAACTAACGCTCATATATTATTAATTTTACTTTCCGGTAAACTTTTTTTTTTTTGTTAAAAGTAAGAAAACTTATGACGAATCTTGTATTCAATTTTCAGATTTTCGATACAGATTTTTTTATAAACTCAATAATTTTAGAAAAACAAAATAAATAGGTATTAATTTCAAATATCTATATATTCATCTATATTCTATACAGAGTGTACCAGAAGTCAGAAATAACTGACAGACGAAATAACTTGTGTTCTATATAATATATACTCACACATATGCACGTTCCACGCGAAGCCGATACAACACGTGAATTGAATTCCCTAAACTTTACTCCTTAATAAATGACCGGCACCGACACCCTTAAAATAGGAACACAGCAGACGTTTTTTTCATGCGTTATAGACCAATAATAAGTGGTAGTAAATTACACATACTTCGGAATGTCCGATTTTATTTTTTTATACATGTATGAACTCTTTGACGAAATATCTAAGTTATTTGGGAAGTCGATTTTCAATTTTCAATTTTAAAGGACCTTAAAATAACGATTTTTTTTTTTCAAAAATATCATGAAATAATCGCATTACAATTGTATTAATTTTGGGCACATCTAATTTAAAAAATCAAAAAAGCGATTCCTAAAGGGCATAGTAGAGAAGTTTATAAATTCAACCATATTTTCAAAATTACGATCGGACTTCAGGAAGTATGTTTAATTTACTACCGCTTTTAGTAGTTTTTATAGCATTGCAAACATGAATATTATATTTCATTTTTCGTAAGTATTGACATGTGCCTGCTCGTGCGATAGTTTATTTCGGGGCTGCCGACGGGCCGTGATAGATTCTCGGAAAGTCGGAAAAAATTAGCCAATAAGGATTATTGGATAAGTTTAGAACATTAGGTACTAATGGGTGACAATAATAATAGTCAGTAATAATAATTTATTATATTTTTCCAAATTTAATACAACCCACATATATTTAAATTTTAAGGAAATACAAAGTATATAATAATACTACCTATGATTTATGAATAATTTGATTTCAACACAACACGCCGATCAGTAAGGTTGTCTGTAAGTCTTTTTAATTTTTTTTTTTACAAAATGGGTAAAGATTGGCGTTATGGGAGAAAAGCTAGACGTAAGTTAAGTGCACCTATAATAAAAAAAAACATCGATTGCAAAATTTACAGAATAAAAAAAGTGATATACATAATAACTGCGGTGATCAGGTAATTATATAAATATAAATTTAGAATAATATTCTAAAAATTGAAGATTATTGAGACTGTGTTCTTATATTTTAATTGCAATAGGAAAATACACATTTGCCAGAATCTGAAAATGTTTTAACAATATAGAACTTACTACTGTGACCCGGTAAGTAAAACATTTATTATGGATATTATTCATTGTAAAATGACAGACGACAGTAGTAGAACGTAGGTAGTAGTTATATATACTTATCAGTGGCGGCGGGATATAGGATTATTTGAAGCAATTGCTTCAAGTCTGAAATGGGTGGGTGGGTGTATAAATATATATATACTCGTAAGACCTCAACACAAATATCATGGCAAATAATATTATTATTAATAATTATTATTGGCCTTTATTGCTAATTTGATTTAATGAAGGGTGAGGTGGTAAAATTTTTTAAAATATACAATATGCTTCAAAGCCTCCACTGATACTTATTATATGCCTTTATTATTATTATCGACGGCTATAATAATAGATAAAAAGATGTAACTTATAAAATATTTAATTTGTTGTTCGTAATTT